AGGCTTCATTAATCAACAAAACCCAAATTATCATCTTTGGTTTTGAGATATTACTTGCTGTGAATACCTTGTCTGATAGGCTACAGTGTTGTGGCATAGTATCAGGACATCCTGGCTAGTGTCTGTCGCGCACGGCTAGTGGCGAATGGCTGGATGATGGGCCTACTTGGGAGAAAGTCCAGGGCTGTTTTTTAGCCCCAGTCCGTCCCTGTTCAGAAGGCCTTTATTAACCCCCTGGAGCCGTGTGGAGTTCTTATTAATGGATGGAGGCACTTTTTTGAGCTTCAGTCTGATGGTTGCAATGCACTTCCATTATAAAGCTCAGAAGCATCAGGGTGTTTATTAATATAACTCCGATTGTATTCGTCTGAAAGAAGAAAGTCATATACACCTATGATGGCTTGAGGGTAAGTAAATCATGGGCTAATTTTCATTTTAAAGTGAACTACTCCTTTAAGAACTTAAAAACATAGTGATTAACAGAATCATTTATAATAAAATGACTGTCATTGTTGTAAATATTTTAATACTTTGTATATGTAAAATAACGTGAACACTATCAAAATTAATTCTGTTCTTTGGCATTCAATGACATGCTTTTTAATGACATCATAATAATAATTATTATTGTTGTTGTTGTAGTATTACCTATAATTTTTATTATAATTATTAAATGTTTTAATATTTTAATAATATTTTATTATATTTATTATAATAGAATAATAATCTACAATAATGTTCAGGTAAGGTTTATCTAAATTGATATTCATTTTATTCGATGGGGTGCAGTAAGTGACCTTGATAATGAATAGGCGGCCCAAAAAGTAACCACTGTTTCATACAGTGTGACAAAAAAAGTGATTTCGCTCTTGCATTCATTGAAAATGTAGCTTGTTACTTGAAAAGCTACACTTTTGAAAATTAGCTGAAATATTGTCATGATACTCAATTTAGTGGTTTATTTTAGTTTTATTTCAGCCTGTAATACAACCTTGTAAAATATTTAATAGGTACAGTATGTGATGACATTATACATTTTAATTTCAAGTGTGACATGGCTTTTTGAAATCAGTTTCGTACACAATTACACCATGACAATCTGATTTAGTCTGGGCAAAGGTCCATGCTCATCACAGAAGGGCCTTTCTCACACCTCCCACATGGGAGTTAAAGAGGCATCCTCCACTGGCCCTGTAAAATAACACTTAGCTCTGCCAGTACATGCTCAACTCACTGCCACTTAATCCAGTCCGTCAGCTCAAGTACCCGATCAAATGCCATTAGGAGGAACTCCATCAAGGAAAGACAAAGATCAGCTCTTCATATTAGCTTACACATCTCATTATGTCAGCTGATCGTGTGTGTGTGTGTGTGCGTGTGTGCGTGCGTGTGTAATGGAATGAAAGCAGCACTGGCAGTCGGCCAGTTTGGACCAGTGCCAGCGTGACCAGTCGTGTTGTTCTCTAATTAACTCCTGCTCCCTTGCGCCTGTGCTTCTCACACACTCACATTCAAAAACACAGAGCCATATTAAGCCCAGAAGTTTCCCAGGAGCTCCAGCACCCCGTGCACACACACACACACACACACGTGTTCACACACACGTGTTCACACACACTATCAGTGCCACACACAACGAGGGAGCTTCTTGTGATCGATTCTGTTGTCATGGGATTTTTTTCCCCAGTATTGATGCTTTTTAATTAGTGGTTTGTTGTTAGCACAGATGGTGATTGTTACCTTCAAAATTATATATTCCACTAACTGTCTTGGAAAAGTCTTCAAAGTCTCAAAAAGTCTTCCACTAAATATATTCTTAATCTCCAGTTACGGATAGTGGTCTGTAGTAAATATATATATAAACAGCACTCATATATTCTGAAGAAACAAATTCTGTACTTTTACTCTCGTTTTAACCTTACATTAGCCATAATGTAGGTCATTATTGCAAAATATACCCTCACAGGGTGATCAGATCATCTTGAAGGAGTTTATTTTGCGATAATGGCCAATATACTGTATATTATCAAATGTTTTATTAAGCTGTTTACCAAATGAATAAATAAATGGACATGAAATATTGATTTTAATTAGTATTTTAGTGAGAATAAAGAGACTGCAGAGTGCTTTGAGAGCCATGTTTTTTGCCAGCGTACTGGTTCTCTGCCAGGGGCCACAAGATGACTCAAAATGATTCAAAATAAAGAGGAAGCAAAGTGTTAAAATAAGCTACAACAACTGAAAATCAAGATAGTTCTTATTATAATTCACCCCCTCAACAAGAATTGTTTTAAAAATGTAATTTCTATAACTGGAAAAGTCATATAAATTGATCAAATTTTGTAACTATTTAGCCTTTTTTATACATTTTTATACTTATGCCAAGTTTTAAAAATATGTTTAAAAGGGCACTAATATTTACACCGTAAGTTATTTTACTTTGCCTTTATTTTTCCCTTACATCTGTGCTGCTACCCAAACTTTTGAATGAGCACGCCCATGAGTATAACACCGAGTCTGTATTATTTGCAGTGTCACAGAGGTCACAAGGTATAGAAGTAAAAGCATTTCCAAACTTTTAGGTCAACAGTCAGTCTCTCTGCTGAGCTTCCAGGTTTTAGTATGACATGTAACAGCTCTAGACTGCCTGAAGCTCCATTTTAACTGGGTTCAAAGTCATATCCCAGCTCCCCCTTCATTGCTTTTGTCAAAGTGAGCGGTGTGTGTGTGTGTGTTTTCAGTCACAAAGAATGTCACCCTGTCACCAGCCCACGTACCTGATTTGAGGATTGTGAAACATGTCTCTCTTGGACATTAATTGTACAACACAAAAAAGTTTTTTTTTTTTTTTTTTTTTTTTTACTCCCAATATGGGAGTCAGTGTCCTTGATTTGCTGGACCCCTCAATGTCAGTCTGGGGAGGTCTGTTTTTTTCCTGAAAGCCCTGGTAAAAACCCTGTCTTGGTAGAAGCTGAACATTTCAGTTGTGTGTGATAATTTATTGTGTTGTCAAGAGCTCCCTCTACTGAAATCCCGGCGAGATACTTCTTTTTTTAAAGAAGAGTGATATACCGAGATCAAGATTAAAAGCATATTTTACTTTGTATTTCCTGCTTTTGATGAGTTTTGCAAATAGATTATAAAACGTGTAAGTATGTCAATGGCATATTTTGTTTGTAATTCATCCATTTTTTGTTTGTGTGCATACATGTTGAACCAGTAATTGCTGAAGGTTGAGTCAGGGTGTGATCATAGAGTGTAACAGCAGCCTTGGGGGCTTGACACTATAAGCAGCTTGTGTCATTCGAAACTACATGGAATCATTGAGACGCTTTATAATGATCACACACATGCTCAGCAACTGAGTAGATCAGTAAGGAACGACAGAATGGCTTATGAATGACATAGACATGTGACTTGTGTGGAGATAGTGAGGGAGGTTTAAATCAATGAACAGTTGTTTACAAAATTCTAAATCTTTCTGTCCCTTTTCGGGTATAAATTCGATTTTGAATCTCAGCTCAGCAGTGCAGTCATAGGCTTTTGGACAACACTGCATGTAATTTAACTAAATAGATTATGCCATATAATCAGTGACTTCAAATTCATATAAATCATGTCAGTCACACCAAGATTTAGATTTACGTGAGTCTTGTGAGACTACATGCATCAGTGCTCTGCATTCCTGCAGTCATGATGCTGGGAATGGACCTAATATGACCATAATGGACCACTCAAAGGCGAAGCAGTGCTCTAATGTATTTTCCATCTGTTAATATTTAATGCAACATTGTAGAGGTCATTAATTACCCCTTTACTGGTCACCCTAGCTTAGTGATGGCCTCTGAAAGTGACAGTGTCACAATTACATCACCTCAATCTTAATGAATCTCTAATTTACTGTTATAGCTCCTGGCACCTCAAGTGAAGAGGGCAGAATGGTGAGCAATGGATAGATAAAAGTGAGCAATGTATTTAAGATGTGGAAAAATTCACCTGGTATTGTTTAAAAATGAGAAATGCTATTTTAAAATGTCTCTTTAGTTTTGATCAAATATTTCAAACCAATTTGGGTTTTGGAATGTATATTTTCCCTTATTTATGCCAGAATGTTTTCTTGTCTTACTTGCGCAACATCTGCGTTTAAATACTTTAAGAGAAGCCGAATTCTCATGTTACACGTTCTGTGCCTGTTTCGTTAGGGTTTACATTATGTCGCTCAACAACTTGCCACACAGTTGATCTGCACAAACAGTCAAATCAAACGATCAAATGTCACCTTTATTGCCATACATCTTGAAGTTTATGAAGCACATAGATTTTGACAAATCAGGTGCAGGTAACTTGACAGGCTTTACTGCATTTTAGAGCTTCATTCATACGATTTTCTTTGTTTGCTTGTCGTATTTCGAACAGAACATGTTTTATCCGTGTTGCAGGCTTGGAAATGTCACATATGGGTAAAAGCCTGTTGTGTCGTATTCACACTTTAAACCCACTGTACCTTTTTCCGAGGCATTGATTGCATTGGTCCTTTAATATTGGTGACAGCTAATACACTCCTAAATGATCGGTTATTATCTCCGGGGCCTTGTTCCATGTGCCCCGCTGTTTCCAAAGGTCATCCCTCTGTCTTCCTGTATCGACCTGCCCGCCTGTTAACGTGGCCTAAGACTTATTGAAAGTGAAGGTTGAGGAACATATTTCCATCAGGTTGCAGTCTTCTCCTTCACGAGATGGCTTTTAAAAGGCTCTTTTGAGCATGTCCATTCAGAGAGCGGGGACAGGATGAGAAAACATAATGGATATGCCGATAAATTGAAAAGCGCCCTTAAAACGCATGTGGTTTCCCACTGGTGTGGATGTATTAGCATCCAGCCTTAATATGATGCATTTAACTATAGATGGGGTGTCTTGCGCATTTTATAACTTCATAACTGTAATAACTCAAAGCAAAATCCTCACAATACTAAAAAAGCATCTTCTTTTTCATTTCACAGCTATACGAACTGGACGATGATGAGAAAAGGAAGGAGTTTCTTGACGATCTCTTCAGTTTCATGCAAAAAAGAGGTGAGCCTATTTATGTACAGCTATTCAGATCACGAATGGCAGAAGCACACACCCCTTAACACCCACATTGCAAAACCACATGTTGCCTTTAGATGATAAGGCTCACATATGGTAATTATAGGACTTGCTGGTGATATTTTAGCCATATTCCAGGTAAAATTGTATTCACCAATCTTCGTAGCAAAGCAAATAACAAAACAAGCTTTTTAAAAAATGTTTTTAGGAATAAATATAAGGTTTTCGAGGATCTCATTTCATAAGAGCAATTGGAATAAGTAGGTTTGATATAATTGTGTGCCATCTGTGTTTGGAAACAAAGCATCATAAATCTCTAAGCACCCATCTGCAGTCTTGCCAACAATAGAAATGCAGGGTTTATTGTTTCGGTAAAGGCTGAGAATGTGTGGATACTATTGTGATAGGCTTTTTCAGGTTTCCTGCTTGAACCGTCCATTTCTCTGAAGTGTTGCTGCCACTGTGGCGTGTTTCTGCCCCTGATGCTATCTGAAACAACGGCTTCTGCTGTTTGTTTTATAATTACTCTCAGATTATGTGAAAACATCCCTGAGGGGATGACCTTGCCACAGTGGGGAAGGCAGCATCCTGGTATTATGTTAGCCGCCATAGCATAATGCATTTTTTTTTTTTTTTTTTTTTTTGCTTTATTGAGGAGGGAGGTACATCATCGGATGGGTTTTTCCCACGAGGTGCTTTAGCCGACATCAGTCTCCTATATTTTATAGAGGAAATAGAGGAACATTAATGGCCTTGCATAATATGAGGAAGTTTGCAGCCTTTGAAGACTTTCCAAGACAGGACAGAGCTATTTTAAGTACACAGGACTGTTTTTGTTGTAATATGTTACAAAACCTCTGTTTTGGTAATATGGTGTATTTTCGCTGTAATTTCGGTTTACATCCAAGTTCATTTTCCATAAACTTGTTACACTTTTGTGGTATCTATGTGAGCAAACAATGTATTTGATTATTTTCATAATACAATCAAATATAAAGATGATATATTTGTAAATAAAATAAAATATGATATAATAATAAAGATATATTATATATGCTAATAGTTTTTACTGTATTTTTGATCAAATAAATGCAGCCTGGAGAGCATAAGAGGTTTCTTTCAAAAACAGTAAAAAATCGTAACTGCCCCAAAAATTTTAATGGTAGTGTAAACAAAGTAATACATCAGCTTCCAAATAGAATAGAATATTTAATATATAATTCTGTTCTTCAGAGGGTTTTCCTCCTTTTAGTTGTCATTTAAGTGTATCTTTTTACTTTGATTTATTGTACATTAAAAGCCATAGCTGTACTATATATACAGCCAATATCACGCCACTTTTGTTTGAAATGTACTTTGAGTATGATTGACTGAAAAGTTTTATTATGAACTTGTCAGGCGCAGTGGTCTGCAAGACAAACAGAAAATGCAGCAGATTGTTTTCTGAGAAAGAAGAATTGAGTGTGTTTCTTTTCTTTTCTTCTCTTAATCCATGAACAATGACAGATGTGCTTTTCTAACAGTTGTGATTGTGGCTTCCTTACACATTACACTAAAGGTACTTGGCAGGATCTCAATAAAATCCTTGCAGATTTTCAGTAATACAATATATTATTACTGAATAGCTCACAACATTGTGACAGCTGGCAGAGCTCACTTCATGCTTTTGTCCTTATATGCACTACATATTAGTGCTATGATGTTGTTGTTACAAGTTTTACATCCAAGAAGGGGAGATATTCAGCAGTCTGTGTTTCAAAATGTACAGTATTGGATTACTTAAATTTTGGGTTTTTTTGTAATTATATATTTATTCATAATTTAATTAATTAATTTGATAAATGTTGTTTCCCTTTTCAAAAAGATGCCACATTAAAATGAATAGAGGAAAAAAATGAAAATAACGTCAAGTTCAAGTAAAGAACAAGGTCAAGTTTTGAAAAAGTCAAAATTACTAGTAAATTATAATTAGTTACTTTTGTGTCTTGTTTGAGAGCAAAAATAATTATATTGTATTTAAAAAAATATTGCAAATAAAAAAGTCTTCTTAAAGCTGTTTTAATTACAAAAATAAAGTAATTAATAGCAAACCTCTTTGCAGTGCGAGTACATTTTTGTTTGTCTTTGTGCAGTTTTCATCACACACACAAATTTGCTCTCTGTTCTGCTGTCATTGTTTGTGACTCTAAAACCTTTGCTTGCAGGTTGAAATGTTTTGAACTCAAGTGAAGCTGCCCTTCAGTGGGTGGTATTTAAGCACCCAGAATGAAAGACCGGTTTCTATTGGTCACTCTCCCTTGGCACAATAATTTGTCTTCATTATTCATGAGTCTTCATTGTAAAAATGAAATATTCATATGATATTCAGTCAAGAGCAGAGAGTGATTTTCTTTGTCTTTTGTTCTTTTATTAACATGACAGACAGCAGCAGAAATATTAGGCTGCTGTCACTTTAAGAGTTTATACACAGATCCAATACACTGTTACACATCATGCATAAACTGATGTGTAACTGAATACTTGCCAAGACGGCCATTTTGACAATTTTGTGTGTATTTGACTTTTTAAGCACAGTAAGCCACTCATTTTGGCTTGAGACTCACAAGCTTTTTGAGAGGCGGCTTATGTGGGTGCCACTTATATAGATCAGTGGTGCGCACGCTTTAGGTGTGAGTGCGAAACCTGTGGGAATTAGTAAAATTGTGCACAATACAAGCACTATTTAACCGGAGCGAATGAGACGCGTGACGGTGTGTGTCCACTAGTGCGGAGTGAGTGGAGCTTCCATATGAATGAACTGAAAACGCTCGCTCTGCTCCGCTCGTTCACGCACCGAGAGTGGGAGGAGGTGTGTGTGTATCACTTTGCCGTCAGAGAGAAGAGAGCGAGAATGCGCAGCTGACGTTATTGCCTGTTGCCCCTGGCAACAAAACGGACCAGCTCGGAATCGGAAAGACTTGTGGCCGGTTTCTTGGCATTGTCCCCTTGATCCATATATACATCTCTTATATAAACATCCTTTATTTTTATAATACCCCAAATCACATGAAAAACACAAAGAAACATATTGTTCTAATCGTCTATTTATTAGCTTAATGTTTCATCTTTACAAACGTATCTGTTAGTTTAGTTACGAGGACAGAATGCAGAGCTACCAGATTTTCGTCATAGAATGGTGGGAGTTATGACACATTATATGAGTGACAGATCGGACGGATCTCATAATTTACTGAAAAATGAAAACAAATACATTTCTTTATAAAGAAATATTAAGTAAACATGGGAATCCATACATTTTTCCCCAAATGTGCACACCTTTGGACTAAAAGCCCTAATGGATGTTTATTTGATATATATGATCACAAATAAAAAGGAGCAGACGTTATTGAATACATCTCGATATTTCATTTGAAATACCAATAACTGGTATGGTTTTGCATGTTTGATGTGTATTTCTGACAGAAATTACTGTCACTGTTAACTGTTTTTATCATAAACAGTGGTGAAATATTGAAGCTATATAGCCCCAAGTTCTTCTAATGATATACAGTTCAAGATTAAATAAGACTGTCATAGTAATATACTCCCTGAACTCGGTTACTAAGCATTTAAAGTCCTTTAAAATTGTTTAAAATACCTGACCTCAATTGGACTCGATTGTTATTTAATAACACACTGTGTCAATTGTGATAAAAGCTCCAGATGTTGCTGGACATCGCCATTTTTGATACTGTCGCAGAATGCGGTTGTGACTTCAGCTTCATACAGATATGTATTCAAGCAGATAATCTGCTGAATGAACGAAACATTTCAAGACTCACTCCTTGCTGTCAATCCCAAACAGCGACTATGAATGCAGCCATCATGGACAACAAGTATTACTGATAGATGCCTTTTAATTCTTTGCACTTAGTTGTTTTTAATCTTGTTTTTTTGTGTGGTTTTTTTTTAATAAAATGTTTGAATAAAACATTGAAATATTAATGGCAGAAGTTACGGTTATTATTTATTGTTAGGAGAAGTAAAGGATTAATCGACTGATCGGAAAATAATTTGATCGATCATCAAAATAATAGTTAGTTAGTATTATACACAGTAAATATTTTCTGAAGCTTTCCATACCAGTGAGTTCCCATACCAGTTTTTTGTAGTATACTTTGTTTATACATCATCATGCGTGGCCATTTTTGACTAGTCAAACTATCTTTGCAACAGATTTTCTTGTTTTAGCAGAACTCCACCTTGGTGGTTTGGTTTAATGTTTGAGGCAGTCACAGGATATCTGATGTATTTTTCCTGAGAGGCAACAGATGACAGAGAGTACTGAGTTGTCATTTAACTCTCATCTGTTTGAATTTGTGATGACAGGAATGCAGGCCAGGTTTTATCGCGGTTCATGCTGTTGTTATTGCGCCATGGGCTAATCCATCTGAGACAGCCAACGAGGAGTCACCCAGTCTAGTGATGCCATCACATAAAAATGCCTGAATGCAGCGAAGTGAAGCTCTTCCCGTCAGCTCAGGCATGAGATCAAATATACTGTAATTAAATCTGCCTCTGCTGCCTCTGTTCTTATGCTTGATGTATAAATCTGTATTGATCTGTATAGAACACCTAATGCACTCATCAAGGGTTTACTTACTTTTATACAGATTAGATCAAACATGTAAATGTTTAGCCTATACAATTTTGAATGCACCTGGGGTGTTTTAAACAAATATTCATTTAACTATCAGTTCATGTTTTCTGTGATTGACACTTTAATCTTAAAAAAAAAATCCTGCCCTATTGTTTTAGAATAAAGCTTTTTTTATGTTATGGATCTGCCTATTATAAATGAATCTTTGAGCACACAATCCAGGTTACCTGCTGTACTTGTTTTACTGTTGTGTTCTCAATCATGTCTCTATGGTGTTAAATGACCGAGTGGCTTTCATGGCTGTTTTATCACACTGACAGCATGAATAGAACGGGAACTCCCATTT